TGTATTGTAAATAATAAAGCATCATAAAATTATTTCACTGCAATAAAAATGCTTTAAAGATTGCACCACCAAATTATTTCATTTTAGTTAAAACATGTTTTTTAAAATGGCACTTCAAAATTGTGATTGCAGCTAAAACCATCTCATACTTCCTACGAACTAGCTGCCACATACTTCCTATAGTGTTTTTCATAAAATAAAGTTATCCTGGGCAAAATGCATGTGGAAAAATATCCAGTGTCAGAATGGATCAACTCCACAAATAGATCTTTGAATGTAAACACAACAAAATAGCAGAATGAGCGATTTGTAATGAACATCTGGCCTTCTAACTGAGTATAGTATTTGTGTGTTTTCTTTAGGCGCAGAGCACGAGATACACATTCCAAAAAGGGGAAATCAGGTCTGGGTCTAACTGTCATGTGTTTGCAATGGTTTTTGACACAACAATGATTCATGCAGTTTGTTCATGTCCCTCTTCTCTGAAGCTGCCATTATCTCTCCAAATCTGGAAGCAGTGATCCACCATTGCCTCTCCTTGTGTCAGATTGCGCTACTTCCTTGTTATAACGTGCTATCCGCAGTGTCCTTCGCTGTTTGTTCCTCAACCTGAAATATTAATATCCCATTAAAGCATGGAAGATGGTACAGCATTAACTAGTTTAGATTCAATATTATAGTTCTTTGGTGTCACACATCACCTTGTTTGATAATTATTTATCATATTTGGGCCTGATTCTTAATATTAGACCTCTGTTTTCACTTACATTATTCCCTCTATCCATGCTTTATTCTGTCCATGGAACTTGGCAATAGTCGTGGCCCATCACAGTCGCCTGTAAAGGCCGGGTCACACTGCGCTTGCGACCTTTTTGCAACCTTTTTGCAACCTTTTTGCAACCTCAAAATCTGGCGGTCGCTTACGATCATTTTGCAAGCTAATTAAGAAGCTATGGCCAATTTTGATCGGCAAGCAGTCGCAAACCGGTTGCAACAAGGTTGCAGTATGGTATCTGCAACCTCTAATAGACCATCTTCAAGTTATAGGTAACTAGTGGCACACTGTTTGCCGAGCGATACACAACCTGTCTGCAACCACTTGGTGACCGAAAACCGGTTGCAGGACTGTAGCAATCGCTTGTCAACTGGTACCAGCAAGGTCGCACAGAATATATATGTTGCCAACTTGTGACAGTAGCTGCTTTCACATAAATTCCCCTCCCACAAAATGTTCTAGTAAAACGACTCCTTTTCAGAAAGACGGGACTGCTATAATCAATGACTTTGTTTACCTAAGAAGTAAAACGAGTAAAACAAGTCGAAAATACTGGACGCTTACAAGACGCCCCTTGTAAGGCGATTACAAACATTTGATGAAAGAACATCGACTTTGAAAATCAGGAAGTTTTCATTTCCTTCCTAAAAATAGAACCAACAATGTTTTGTGAACTTTTGAAAAGACTATGTATACACCCTCACCTAACGAAACCAGTGCTGTAATAAAAACATAAACTTGCATACGTTTTAATCCTTATTAATCTCATAATACTCTTTAATATTTTCTTGGTCAAATACTTGGTCTCTTTGAGGTTGCAAGGCCTGTTCAGTTACGGTCACACTGAAGAAAAAACCTCTTTGCGACTTGCAACTGTCATCGGTTGCAAAAAGGTCGGTGACCGGTTGCAACAACTCGCAAAGTGGTTTCCAAATGAACGCTGGGTTAATATCCGGTTGCGCCGTTTTTCGGTGCAGCACCGATAACCTCCTGGCGACCAAAAAACCTACTTGTGGTATCCAACCGGTTGCCAACAGGTCGCCGACTGGTTTGCAACTGATTTGCAACCGAATGTGTGGTTTCCCCTATGTCTTTTTGACCCTAGGCGTTTGCCATTTACAATACAACGTAATTAAATCGTGACAAGTCATGCGCATCGTGTACTTTTTACACTCTCTTCCTTGTAGTGAGGATACCAAGCACTGGGAAGATTTTAAATTGTTTGTGTTGAAACTATTTTTATTTAAGTCTATTGGACACATTTTACGATTTGTTCATTTATTTGTGGATAATTTTGATTGTTGAAATTATGATATTAAATAGCAGTTATACATTGCTGATTAAATTGCTTTTATTTTCCGTTTTCTTTGCATTCGTGCATTTGTTTCATTATTTACTCTGATAACATGGCTTTGCAAATTTTAAATAACATACAGCGATATATAATTTTCGGCATTTTACCTATGATTTTCGTAAAATGATAAAATAAATAAACGTAAAAAAATCGTACATTGCTTTTATCATCACATTTTTTTTGGTTCGTAAGTGTGAAATACCTTGGCAATTGGTATAAAATATTGCCAACAAATGCAATTTATGTTTCCTTTTTCTAAAATATTATAATTTATGACCTTGATATTTAGAAGGCTTACATAACAAATTATGAAAAAAGTCTTTGCCCCACCATCCCACGCCTATTTTTTGCAGTCGCTTGCAACCTTCCTGCGACTTATTTTCGAACGCCTGCGATCGGTAAAAAACCTGTTAGCGACCAAGATACTAAAGACCGTCAATCGACCACGCAGTTACAACTGCAACCTTCTAGCGACCTGCTGCCGACTACTTGCGACTGGTAAAAAAACTTGTAAGCGACCAGTCGACTAAATACGGTCAATCGACCATGCAGTTGCAAATGGTATGCTGCTGGTTATAGCAACCTACTGACAACCAAGAAGATACCGAAAGGCAACCTTTAGGATACCGATAATTTTTATCTTTAGTCGCACTGGTTGTCGGTGCACAAATAATGGCCTTCATATGTCAACGATCGCAGGCGACCTGTTAGCAACCTTATGCGACCACTTTAAAACCTATGGCAACCTTCTTGCGACTGAGGTTGCAAAGAGGTTGCCAAAAGGTTGCAAGCGCAGTGTGACCCAGGCTTAAGTCAGCTTTAGGGTAGGCACTAATGTGAAGTGGTAGGTAAGATTCCTGAAGTAATCATTGTATCCTGCTCTATTTCTGAAGTTGGCTGGCTGCTGGGGTCCTGAAACCAACAGTTTCAGGCTTTTCCCCCAATATTAAGGGCCTCCTTTGGGGAACCTTGTGAAGAAAATAAATAAGTACATTTACTAAGTATAAAATTTTTTCGTCTTTCGTGCTACTAAAACAAAATATGGGCGTACTCGTACCTAGTCAACATAACATGACAGATTTTACACTCACACACCTCGAAGAATCTTTGATTCTTTCAAGGAAAAAGTTAGCATTCGTGTTTTTCAGGCACTAAATGAAGAGAAAACACATACCTTTCAATCAATTCACATTTTCATCCAGTTGTTATGGCACCACATTCAAGTAGTTTGCGTTTGAGTTGGTTCACAGTCAACGACGCGTGCACACGCTCCATGTTAAACTCTGGTTCACAGTTAAAGCCGTGAGCGAGATTCTGCGAGATTTTAGAAGGACTGCTTTCACCCCCCACGCCATCTAGCGGCAGACCCTCAACGCTGTTATGCCCCATTACTAAATGATGATAGGAATTCTGGATTAAGAGATTAATTAAATAGTGATATTGTCAGTCAATTTATGTAGAATCTGATAATATGATTGAAAATACTCATTGAATTATTGGCCTTGCACTGGGCAGTTTTACATTTGTGCCAAGTGCTTTTTTTTTTTTTTTTTTTTGGACTCCATTGTACAGTGGTAAAAGTTCTTCAATTGCCATGAAAGTTTGTAATCAGACTCTCTATGGTGCTGCCATCTACTGGTGCTATCGGCAACGAATTAGTTTGCCTTTGTTTCTGAGTGAAACTACCTTCTAAAATCACTATTTCTGAAAATATTTGCGTTTTGCTGAGGGTAGACTAGGCAATGCACGGCAAACTTCTTAGTACGTGTGTACTTTTTTTAAAAACCCTAGCGATATTTGGTCAGGAGTTGCTTGAAGCATAGCACAGCTTTGCTGTCTATCGGCATCAGGGCGTTACTTTGTCAATTCTGCCTCGTCTTCACTCACCAAGGGCTTACGTGAGATAGAACTAGGCCGCGCATGCTCAGTGAACTTAGTTGCCTTGTACATGCGAATCAGGTTTTCCCTTCGTCTCTGTTGTGTTTTGATTTTTTCTCCGGACTTCTTTTTGATTACCAAGTAGTTTCTTGGTTTTCTATACAGTTTATTGTGGATTACAACTTCTGGTTGGATTTTCGGGACGCTGTTATTGCCGGATTTGGACTTTGTGGACGTTCTACGTTCGGTTCTTTGTCTACGCCCTCAGCTAGTCTTACGTAACTCTCGTCATGGCGGCCAAAGACCAACGGTCTTTATTTGATCAACTGGCCGCGGATATTAGTGTTCAGCCATGTCAGGCTCTCCCCACCGGGGATGTTGCTACTGCAGGCAGTAGCAAGAACGTATCTCAGGACAGCAGATCCACCGGATCAAATGCGTCCGTTACAATCAGTACTCGTGCCAGCACTAAGTCTGCTGCGCAGAAGGCCTCGAAGGCGACAACTAGTGCGCCAAGCACTGCAGCCAGCGCAGCTGCCATTGAATTGAGCGCTCTGAGCGATAATCTGAAGCGGGATTTCGCCGCCAGTATGGCCGAAATGACTTCGGTTTTTCAGGACGCGTTGCGGGAGAGGGACGATCGTTTTGATCGGTTCGTAGCCAGTCTGGGGCTTAGTTCAGATGGCCCCATCACCAGGAGAATTGCCCCCGGAAACGATCCACCGGACGTTTCCGTGAGGGAGGATGAGGGCGGTGTGGAGCAGCCGAGGGAAGAAGCTAATCCCTCGGGGTCAGCCAGTTTTTACGATATCATTAGTAGCGATATCACTGGGGTCGACCGTGTGGGACCGGAGGTTTCCGACGCGCTGGTTAATCTGGTGTCGGATATTATGCGGGAGAAGATGCCGGAGGATAAATTGCACGAGTTACGTAACAAGCACGACCGCCCAGCCAATGTGGATGGTTTTACGGCTCCCCGCGTTAACCCCGAAATATGGACAGGGCTCACTGCTGCGCAAAGGTCAGTGGACCTGAAAATGGCAAACGCGCAAGATTGCGTATTAAGAGGTATGATCCCACTTATTCATGTTCTTCAGAAACTGGATACTGAGAGAGAGTCTGTTGAGCCCAAAGATATAGTTGAATTGATTGGAGATAGCCTCCGGCTATTGGCCCAGGGCAACAGGAACATTAACGGGAACAGGAGGGAGCAGCTCAAATTTGCCATTGCCCCGGGATATCGACACCTTTGTTCGACAGCCACACCTGTTACGGAGTTTCTTTTCGGAGATAACCTGCCCTCAACTGTTAAATCGATCACAGAGGCCAACAATGCCAGTTTCAAAATTTCTAACTCTTCTTCTGCATTTCGAGAAAAGTGGGGCTCTTCTTCAGTCAGAGGCGGCCTAACCAGAGGCGCCATCTATCGAGCTCAAGCTTCTACTAGCAGACGAGTATCTCCTTACCCCCAGGATTTACAACGGGAGCACTCTAATTATGGATCACCTCGGGAGTATTTAAACTTCGGAGGCAGGACACAGACGTCGAGGAAAAAAGGGAGAGGGAAGTCGAGCCATCGCTAGGCGTGGTGAGTAATGAATTTCTTATGAACAGAGCATCACACGTTAGCTCGTTGCAATCCAACATGGCGGCGCCCATGAAAATTTCAGATTCTATTATTACATATACACTGCAGGCACAGCCGCAGTTTGTTGCAGGTAATCTGAATCATTTTATTGGAGAATGGGAAAAGCTCACGTCGGATCGTTTTATTCTAGATATGGTTCTAGGCTGTAGGATCCCGTTTACCAATAACTGTTTTCCCGTACAAACTGTGGTACCTAGAGAGATTTCTTTTAAGGATAAGGAGGTCGTTATTATAGATAAACTCCTGGAGAGATTTCTGGACAAAGGTGTGGTGGCGCCAGCAGTACACGATGTAGGGGAATACCTTTCTAACATATTTATTACCCCTAAGAAAGATGGAGATTTTCGATTGATATTGAATCTCAAACAATTGAATGAATTTGTGGAGTATGCACATTTTAAGATGGACACACTTCAAAGTGCAATCACTATGATGAAACAAGGTTGTTTCATGGCTAGTGTTGATATCAAAGACGCATATTACTCGATTCCTATTGACAAAACTTATCAAAAATTTTTAAAATTCTCATGGCAAGGTAAATTATTTCAGTTTACCTGTATGCCGATGGGTTTAGCATGTGCCCCACGTTATTTCACAAAATTATTGAAGCCTGTTTATGCAGCTCTGCGGAATGTAGGCCACCAGTCTGTGGGATACATTGATGATTCCTATTTACAGGGGGATAGTTTTGAAGATTGCCTAGCTAATGTGAGAGATACAGTTGGATTATTATCTCGGCTTGGGTTCACAATTAATGTCGAGAAATCAGTATGCAAACCACAACAAACATTGACTTTCCTGGGATTTGTTCTAGATTCCGTTCACATGACTGTCACCTTAACTAACAATAAGGCCTTAAAAATTAGGACTGAATGCACACACCTGTGGAATAAGTCCGTTTCCATCAGACAATTAGCTACTGTCATTGGTTTGTTGATAGCAGCGTTACCTGCAGTGGAATATGGTAAACTGTTTTACCGGTCCTTGGAGATCTTTAAAATTGAGTCTTTACGTTGTCAGGGGGGCAACTTTGATAGCCAGGTAACTATATCTGGACTGGCTAAGGAGGATTTACGTTGGTGGATAGACAATGTGGGCCTTACATCTAATCCGATTTCACATGGAAACCCCACCATTGTCATTCAGTCTGATGCCTCCAGTTTGGGCTGGGGGGCCCATTGTGCCGGTGTTTCAACGGGTGGCAGATGGAACTCCAGTGAAAGTGCTCATCACATTAACTACCTGGAGCTATTAGCAGTTTTCTTAGGACTTAAAGCCCTATGCTCTCAATATACTCATGAACATATCCAAGTGCAATCAGACAATACTACTGCTGTTTGTTATATTAATGAAATGGGAGGGTGCAAGTCAGTGCTTTGTAATCGGATTACTAGAGACATATTATTGTGGTGCAAAGCAAGAAACATTTGGTTGTCAGCGACTTATTTGCCAGGAGCATTAAATGTCATTGCTGATAGAGAATCTCGTGTTTTTCACGATGACACTGAGTGGATGTTGGATGTAAATGTCTTTAATAAGATAACTGAGAAATTTGGACAACCTAACATTGATCTGTTTGCATCTCGGTTAAATTTCCAGGTCCAACTATATGTTTCATGGAGACCTGATCCACATGCTCAATTTATAGATGCCTTTAGTCTGAACTGGCATCCCTTTTATTTTTATGCCTTTCCTCCTTTCAGTCTGATAGCGAAATGCCTTCAGAAAATTGTGGAAGACAAAGCTACGGGAATTCTGATTGTGCCGTGTTGGAAAACTCAAGCCTGGTTTCCGAAACTTCTGACACTTCTGACAGAGCGTCCTCTGTACTTGAAGAAGCACCAGCGACTATTAGTACTTCCCTACAGCGATCAGACTCATCCCTTGTGTCAGAACCTGAACCTATTAGCATGCCGCTTATCCGGGACTCCCTCAAGGAACAACGTATTTCTGAGTCAGCTATCAACATCATCATGCGATCCTGGAGAGACTCTTCTCATAAACAATATAGGACATACCTCAATAAGTGGAGAGTGTTCTGTTTTGAAAGGGAAATTGATCCCATTCGTCCACCTGTAGGATTAGCATTAGATTTTCTTGTAGAGTTAGTTAATACAGGACTTAGTTTTAGTGCATTGAACACTGCTCGATCTGCACTTTCAGCTGTAATCATAATAGACGCTGGTGTACCCTTTGGAGCATTACCAATTGTTAAACGATTTCTTAAAGCTGTGTTCTTGTCTAAACCTTCATCACCCAGGTATCAGTGTATTTGGGATGTTAAAACTGTGTTGGACTACATTAGTACAATGCATAAAGTGACCCAGCTGTCCCTGAAAGATCTATCTTTGAAGTTAATTATCCTCATGGCACTAACATCAGCTCAACGAGGCCAAACATTACACTTGTTGAATATGTCTAATTTGCATATTGGCAAAGCTTCATACACTTTCACAATTAGTAAACATGTGAAACAGAGTAGACCGGGCGTAAGCCCAAGTGTTGTTAGATTTTCTGCTTATCCAGTAAACAGGAAATTATGTGTTGTCACTTGTTTGACAGAATATTTGAGTAGAACACAAATCTTGAGAGGGGAGGAGGATAGTCTCTTCATTAGCTATACTAGGCCACATAAGGCTGTCGGTAGAGAAACCATTAGTAGATGGATTAAGGTCATGCTGGCCAGAGCAGGCATTGATATTAGTATTTTCAAAGCTCATAGTACCAGAGCTGCAGCCACTTCAGCAGCTAATAGAGCTGCTGTACCTTTAAATGATATTTTAAGTAAGGCAGGCTGGTCTAATGCTAGTACATTTGCGCGATTCTATAATAAACCGATTATTAACGTGGATCATTTTGCTAATCGGGTATTGGATAGTGTAGGGACTAATAAATAGTTTTCTTTTCTCACTACAATTATTGAGTTGATGGTGGAGGATTATAATCATCCTGTGTTTTCTGAGCTTAATCTTTTCAGATAATCAGCACATTGTGTTCATTCATGAATTCTTCACCTTCATGGAATGACTGATGTACCATTATGTTTTTAGGTATTTGTGTTGTATCTGGTACTGTAAAAGTAGCGTACACAAATGTGTCTTTTTCCTGTACTATATATTATGCTTATTACAATTTTATATTTGATCATATGTTGGGTGTTGTGTTGTTCTTATGGGAATTATTTTTGTGCTCAGTAGGAGCTTTAAAATCTCACGTAAGCCCTTGGTGAGTGAAGACGAGGCAGAATTTTACAGTTAAACGAGACTTACCTGTAAGTTGAAGTTTGACTGGGATTCTGCCGAGTCTTCAGGAACATAGGGTTTACGTGCCCTCCCTTCCCTACCCAATGGGTATACCTACTGAGCACAAAACTCTAAAACCTGAGCATGCGCGGCCTAGTTCTATCTCACGTAAGCCCTATGTTCCTGAAGACTCGGCAGAATCCCAGTCAAACTTCAACTTACAGGTAAGTCTCGTTTAACTGTAAAATTATCACGAATTACTAAATGACGACCGGATGGCCTTGTGGTTAGAGTGTCCGCCTCCGGAGCGGGAGGACGTGGGTTATATTAGCTATGAGCGCCTAATATGGCAGCCGAGCTGTATGCTCCCCAGGGAGGTGAGAACGTCTAAGGAGTGCACCAGTGCAAAAATGACCAGGCTTCCTTGACTTAAATATTCATATATATATATATGTAATTGTATAATTTCAACCTTCGGGTTGCCATTCTCCAATAAAGATTATTATTATTATTATTATTATTATTATTATTATTATTACCCACGAATCGCAAACCCATTCATTTTCCCATGGCAATCTAGCAGCTCATTAAAATGCACGCATGCGCAGTGGGCTAGTCGTGGCGTCATGCAGTGCAATTCTGGGGATGCTGGGTCTGCTTCTTTTGGAGTATTTCACATTTTATTTTCACCACTGGATATTGCTAAGTTGTGCTTTCTAATATAGCGCAACTCCTTGACTGTATCACAAACACAAAAACAGACACCACCTCCAGTATTGCAGTTGTCAAGCTCTACAAAATGCAAAAAACAAGAGGTCTCTAGTATTTACGGTTCCAGAAATGTAGAGAGCTTTCAGTTTTGGCATCAAACGGCTGCCTCTTCCGTGAAAATGCATCGATTGACCCCAAACTCCTAATTATGAAAGGAGTCCATAATTGTAAACCCCACTGTAATATAATAATAATAATAATAATAATATATTTATTAATATGAAAGCTTAGGTCTGTGTAGTTTCTAAAAATTGGCACAATCAAATATATTTTTCAATAAATTCCCATTTTTAGAACATTGATATAAAGGTCAAAGGTCAAATCCAAGGGCACATTTGGAATCGTCACATATGACTTTCGGGTAGACTTCTATAGTAATTTTTCCCATAATTCCTTTGATTTGGTAGGTTTTTGGCATTGAATTTTCAAAAAATTTTACAAGGGTGCATTTCAACTAGCGTCACGCCAAGGCCAATGCAATAAAAGAGACAAAAAGAACAGGGGGTTCAAGTTGAGATTATATGTGACCAAAATCCAAGAGGGGTCCTTGCGGTCTAGGGGAAGAAGCAGTAACGGTGACTTGTGTCCAACACCAGAATGTGGAGCCGGAGGAGCCGCAGGAGCCGGCAGAGCCGTTCGAGACGGGTCGGGACTAAAACCTTGAGTACCGCCAGCGTACACGCTGGTGGTACTAATTAGTCGATTTTTAAATTTCGGTTATAGAAATATAGATGATACCTCTATCACGTGCCAAAGTTTGTATATCCAGCAATTTGTCTTTGACCTTGGGAGGTATGACCTTGTAGGTGCTGCTATCTATGACAAGTGCTACGCAGTGAATGACGTCAGCCAAACCAGGGTCCTTCACAAAACCAGGAGATTTACGTGTGATACGCGCAGCAGGGTTAAACTGGAGATAAATTTAATTAAAATGTTTCTTTTATGTAAACTTATTGCACTTCATTAAATTACTATATTTGACTAAAACTGTAAGAGGCTTTTAGTTAAACAAAGATACAAAGAAATTACGAACCATTAATGCTTAGTGAAAAAAAAGGTAAAACCATTAAGTTTAACTCAAATCAAATAGTGTCCTTCAGCACAATGAACATTTCTTATCTGACTGACAAATACTTGGAAATAAATGAGTGCTGAATCATTTTTATCAGCCTAACGTCACAAATCCAATAATCAGTTTTAGGCTGTGGGATAATTGGGTCTTAGAGACTGGTGCAACGTAATAGAAAGTCAACCATGATTGAGAGTCCCCTTTTCATTAATTTGTACAGGTGAGCCTCACCCTAGATTTTGACCCACTTAGGTCAGGCTAACCCTAACCATTATACATAAATGGAGGTCGGACTTTTTGTTACACATAGACTTTGTTTCATTTAACCGGCCTCTACCATCAGAAAGCGTCTGTCTCCCCTGTGAGCCTGGAAATGACAGCCACAATCATTGTCAAGTGAAGCCCGGATTGACCTCTTAGACTCCGAGACCTAATTAATACATCACTGACCTGGAAATGGTCCGGCACGTGACCATCCAGCACATAGGTAATGTCTCCCACATCTAGTCCCTGGTCCTCTTCCAGACCCATGGTGTCACACAGACGGAACGCAGGCGTCTTGTGGCCTGCTTGGACCTCATACACACGATACTATAAAAAGAAGAAGAAGAACAACAACAACAACAACATCAACAAGAAAACAAGGCAGCAAAGCTGTCAAATGTACAGACAAATAGCAGGAAATAATAATGCACAAAATAAGAGACTCAATTCTGATGCAATAATACATTATGCTTACTAGTAACTGCAAAGTCAACATCAAAATTTAATTATGCACACATGTAATACTGATGAAAGTAAAAGCATAAGGCTTCAGGCCAATGAGAGTTCAAGTTCACACTTTGAAATGGATGAGAAAAATGAAAATTTCATTAAAAAATGCATAAACTCAATAAAAATGATAATCCAATAGAGCTAGTTTTCTTATTTGAGCTGTATGTCAATCCTAAGAATCATATGGCAAGTTAAAAAAGTAACATAGTTTTCTTTTCATAACATTTGTGGTGACAGAGAATGAAGTAGTTTTTTTGACAATTTTGATGCAATAATTAATTATGCTTAACAGCATAATGACCGTCAATTTTTAATAATAAAATAAAAGTATCATTGATGTTCAGAAAATGTGACTAGCACAGGTCTTCAAGCCCATAGAAGGTCATCGTCACACCTTGAAAATGTCTGTATGTGAACATGTTAATGCTAACAAAAATATATATATATATAATTTGCAGAAAAGTTAACCAACAAGACAGGTTTGCCAATTGATGCTGTATTTTAGTCCTATGTTACTTTTCTGTAAGTTTAAGAATAGTAAGTGACATAGTTTCCTTTTAATGGTCACTGTGGAGGCAGTGCCAAAAATAGGGTTTTCTTCATTTTGATGCAGTATTACATAATGCTCAACAGCATAATGACCAACAATTTTAATAATAAAATAAAAGTATCATGGATATTCAGAACGTGAACAGCAAAGATCTTCAAGGCCAAGGGAGTCCAGAGTAACACCTTGAAAAGGCCTAAATGTAAACAAGAGGTAGCTTTACTGAAATGAGTTTCATTCCATTTTCAACCCTTTTTTACATCAAACAAAACAATCTACTGTCATTTTTATATGATCAACTAAGAAAATTGATGAAATAGGAAATATATCAACAGAAATATTTTAAACGTCCTATTTGCTCCATTCTGAATTTCTGAACATAGTGAATGATTGGATCTGACAAAGTGTAATGAAGTGAGTTTATTTCCATTTTTGACACTTTATTGCACATGATAACAGGTACCATCATTTTTATATAATCAACTAATAATATTGTTAAGATGCGGAAAATGTCAGAAGGACACTTTTACATATCTAATTAGTTCAATAATGAGACTGTTATTATGCATAATAATTAAATCTGAGGAAAAACCATTTATATACAAAAAAGGCATAACTCCATCCAAACTTAACCGATCAAGCTTGTGCCCTTTCACTTAACATTGCTGTGTGCATTACTGGGGTCCTCACTCAAGCAGCCATGATGACGAGTCGCTTCACCGTTGATAGGCACCCCTTGAACTCTGAGGAAATGTTTCACTTTGTAGACAGACAGTCAGGGGAATGCTGGCAGGTTGTAACTTCTTTACTCTTTCTTTCCAACAACCAACCGTGCAACATTGATTCCTTTTAGGTCTCATACTAAGGTCCTGCCTGTCTCTTACTTTCAAATTTCTGCCATATTCAGAAAAGGCTAGCAGGTCACGTGGACTGCTTCTCACTTATGCAAATCATATATTGTGCTAGTTTTGTTTCAAGTACTGCCAGTGCACTTATTGAACTTACAAAGCTTATTTTCGATCTTTGATCTGTATTTTAGTAAGACTGATCATTCCTCCCTAACGAAAAAGTCTTATAGGATCTTATAGGATCTTATATGACTTTTTTGTAAGGGCTGTAGGGTCCAAGACAATAGGCCTGTCGGTCTTCCTTATCAGTGTTGCATATGTGTCATAAAAAGCAAAAAAAAAGAGCATAACTTTTGAAAAAATGGCCCAATTATGCTGCTTTTCTAATTCAACCTGCATTTTATGGTAATTCATCAGTTCTGTAAGTTTCAAGCCAAAGGGTAAAATGGCTTTTAAGCTGAAAAATATACTGTACCTCTGAGACTCATATATGTATTTGCTGTACAAAGATCGCTATAAATAACAATCATAGCATACTAGGACCCTCTCATAATTAAACTTCAATCTACATGATGTATGCTGTATAAGATTTGTGAAAAATTACATAGTAAATGTCCTGTATTGATTGTGTCTAAAATAAATTTAATTAAAGAAAAAAAAACATGGGATTTCCAAAACTTTATTTTATTCCCAGGTACATCAGATATCCAGACTAGATTTTCTTTTACACTTAAGTCTTGCACTGTTAGTAGTCTTCTAGAAATCTTTCCAGATTTCTTGCCATTTCTTTGTCCGATAACTCATCATCTGACCTATAATCACTATCTACATCAGAATCATCTAGTTTCTCCTGAAATAGTATTGTGATTTCGTGTCTGTGAACAATCCAATATTAAAGCAAAATTTGAATCACAAACAAATCAAAGAGTATTTATGTTACTTTTCATAATATAATTACATTTGTTTATTTTCAAATAACGAAAGTCTATACTTAAGACAACTAGCTGTCACATCACACACAGCTCACCTTCATACTTTCCAATGAAAGATGGATTCTTAAAAATTTAATGAACACATTAAAAACATTAATTACCTCTCTTGCTGAAACAGGATCAGGTAAGACTTGTTCAAGTTGATGAAATATGGGCTGGGCAGCCTCTTCCGTCTCAGTATCCTTATAGAAAAAATAAAGTCTTATGAATAATGTATTTTAAAAACCACACACTTCGGGCCAATGAGTTTCAGGAGAGGAAAGATCCATCAGAGTTTCATAAAAAGACGAAATACGTTTCCCCACTTGTAGAGTCTGGTGTTCCTTGTGATCAAGTTAAATAAAAATTACATAGCTTAATTAGATCATGAGCATACCATGCAAATTAATAAGATTGAGGCCAAGTAACTAAATTTGTTTCCAACTTGATCTAAAGCAAGTTAGTAATCCAAATAAGTTAAGCATGGGATTAATCAATTTGTTCTAAAATCATATTAACAGAAATACTGAATATTGTAATCAAGTAATTTAAATCAAATGACAGATATATATTCATTAAGGAAAATGTGAAATATAACTTACTTATTCCTGTGAACATCTTTGTAATGGTGCCATCTGCAGCTGTTCTAAGGTAGAGATACTGTACTCAAAATTCATCACCCATAAAAACCGGTGTGCCATCACATGTAATACCCACAAACTGTGCACTGTGAAATATGTCTCCGGTAGTTTGGTACTCTACACCTACTATATTGGAGACACACTCCCTTTTTTATCATTGAGGTAGCTGGTACCGACGTCTAAACCTTTAGCTTTATCAAGATCACATAAAATGGTGAAAGTCTTGAAAGGCAAGTGGTGCTTTGCAATGCAATGGGCATTTCTAAACAAAATATTCAAACGACTGCGCTCATTTTCCCTCGATCAACATTCCCACGGTCCTTCCAGCTTCAGTGTGTACCAGCTACTACCTCCCTCTTCTTCTTTTGTCTAATTTTTCAGCCTTGATGTGTGTTTTGGATTTTTCAAGCACTTTAATTATGTCCAGTTTCAAATGTGATTGTCCCGTAACAAAAGAATTTTGCTCTGAACTCTGTGTTTGTTGGCATACGGTGCAAAACATTTTGCTTTCACCATCTTCATCGCTGCAAACTAGCCAGTCTCGACTTTCCTTCCACGCTTCCTGAAAACTCCTAACGCGTTTTGCTTCATATGTGCTGTGTTTGCCTGAAGACTTTCTCTTTGGAGCAATTTTACCGGGTTTACATCTCTCCTTCCACTTCAAGAAGGGCATTTTAACAAAACACGTGGTGCAACTGAGAAAAATGTGCGTATATTTGCCATCGATAGATGATAATAAAATGTTTAATGCCCAATATCGTTTATTGTTGCAATATGGTACCACACATGCATTTGTGACATGGTGCTTTTAATATCCTTTTATCAAAGTTGACATCAACACTACTGTGAACTATATATATATATACTATTGTCTGCTCGAATCTGGGGATGTTAATTGATAAATATTTTACTCTCAATATCGGCTTTCATTGGAAAATGGCACCACACATGAACTGGCCGATACATTGCTTTAAAGCCAGTTATATATCAGCTCAACATATATCAATACAGACAAACGCCAGAACCCGTTTTTATGAGGTAACAGGAAAAATATACTGAAAACCCGAAACAAATTTCCACGTGTTGACGCAAGCCTATGTGCTGGCAATAGCAAGATGGCGGCAATGCTATATCATAGCAACCGCTAGGGACCGCGAGAAATTGCATTATCAATGCATAAGAACAAAATAAATTGACTGAGGCACAGCACGCACTACCTTGATAATAAGCTGTTCAGTGGAGCTATCAAAACAGATTATGTGAGACAATGGGCCAAAGTTTACCCGAACGCACATAGCTTCATAGGAAGATGCCACGTTTCAAGTCATTTCGTTATTATGTCCAAGCTTCAGCTTTAAGATCAACGAAGCACCCCCCTCATATACCCATGGAAAATAAATATCATCATGCAAGTACATACCTTGGTTGTGAGGCCATGTGGTGCCGTTCCGGTCGCCGCCTGGCTGCGGACTTTGCCTTTAAACACAGAACGGACGGTGTTAAAGAAACTGGATTTCCCCGCCCCCACACTGCCCACCAGGAGGAGCCGTGCGGCGGGGACTTTGGCCGGGCTTGGAGTGGAGAATGACACCAACTCATCAAAAAGTTTGTCTCTAGTCTGAAATAAAGATATTAGGACAATAACTTCAAATATGCCAGTTTTCTTTAAAATATTAAAAGCTTGCTATGGTTCCCTGAATCAAAATCACAAATGTGTAGGTGGCGCCACGGTGGCAGAATGCAGAGCTCCCCCTGGTGTCATCTGTTGGTCTACAAGATACAATACTACTCAATGTTGCCAGTGCTATTAAATCAGATATAATAATTGAGACTGTTTCAAAACAAACAAAACAAACAAGTAAAAAAAAATCAAAAACGATGGAGTATACTACAAAAATAAGTAAGAATAAAAGCTTGTGAAAGTCGCAGCATTACTTATTCCCTAATATTTCATCGAGGTACGCCAAAGAGCTACATATACCTTAGTGCTCCAGTCGATAATGTCAGTTTTACGCCACGGTTTGTCTTTCTCATACACATGTAATTTATCTTGCGGATTCCACTCTGTCAAAAAATAACTATAATTAGAGATGAATAACCTGTAGAAAAATATCCAATGTTGTTAAACTATTTATTAGTTAGACTGTTATACAGAAACCGTATCTATTTATTTTATTTGATAATGAAAGGAAATCCAGGTATTCCTCGTCGAGTAATGTGAATAATATACAGTATGGCATGTAATTAAGTTTCAACATTTTATTCATTACAAACATTCATTTAAAATCTTTGCAATTTCGTTGAATTCACTCACAAACTGAAACGTGGCAAAAAATCAACCATTGTCACTAACTGAAACGTGGCAAAAATCAAACCCCCCCCCCCTGTGCCCCCCACTACCCCCACTGTGTACCCCTACCCCCACTGTGTACCCCTAACCCCACTGTGTCCCCGCTATCCCCACTGTGTCCCCCTACCCCCACTGTGCAGATGCAGATGACGAGTACAATGACACTTACGTTTTACAGCGTACACTTCAATGTCGAGATAGGCGTTGCTGTTTCCAGTAAATGTTTGGGTGTTAAAACTACTAGCATCATAACTATAACCGATGAAACTGCAGCTATCTGTGTTGTAATGAGTGCCAGATTTACTGCATGTATTGGAAAAAAACTGCAGATCGTGACCACATCCAAATGTAGGGCCATGCGTAGCAATGTCATAAACATCGTTCCCTTTCCCATTGCGAGGGAACTTAACCATGTTTGGTGAGAGCTGAAACAAAAATGCACGGTCATCATCAGAATAATTTCCGCGTGATGTCCATGTGATGCTCGTGTATCCCCCTATGACGAAACCAGCGCTGTTATGGCCGACAGAAACAGTCGGACCTTGGTAGTTGCACTTTGCATGGAAAGCTTCACCACTGCAGCCGTCCCTGGACGCGCTGTACAGGAGGTCAAAGGTCAAGGCCGAGTCACCAATCCATGTCTGGAGCTGTTGCCGGTACCGCTTGTTATCAAGTATTGGCATTGCGGCCTAGTGGGCTGAAACAGATGGTTAAATATGCATTTTAATACCAGTAGTTTATTAATATATAAACAACAATACTACAGAGTGATGGTGGACCCAGGGTCCCTTACGAAATTTCCTACAGGATCCTACAGGATTCCTATAGGATCCTATAGGAAATCTTATAGGATCCTATAGGGCACCTTTCCTATAGGATTTCCTATAGGATCCTATAAGAAATTGTTGTAAATTAAAATCTTGAGAAAAATGCATATCTTATAAACAAATATCATTTTAAACAATATATATTTGATATAGGTCAATTTTATCAGTTGAATTGTCAATTATATATCACTATTAAGGCAAAAATGATTTTTATTGTGTATAATGCACAATCTTATAGTCTTCTATAGGATTCTATAGAAATTCTTTAATTTCTATTTTAAAGAAATCTTGAAAAAATTGATAATTTGTAAAGCAATCTTTTATGGAGAAATATTTTATCATTAGGAATGTTTTTGTACCAAATCATTGAAGCTTAAAGATGCATACAAAGCCAATTTTTTGTCACAAAAACCAACCAAATGCCAGCATATAGTTTCAAGTAGTATAACTAAGAGAATTACCAAAAGGCATTGTTTAATTTTACCCGAAAATGATGTTTGAACGGATTTTTCTGCTGGCATTCTAAGCTGTATGTCAATGGGGCAGGAAAGTAGGTCACGAAAGTAGGTTAAATTTACAACCAAAAATTTAAAGAAAGGAGCAGTCTAAAGGTCTTTTATGGCTGATCGAGTGATCTATTCAGTTTATCCCTTGGCATGTCGAATTCATTTGAGTCATATAAGAATCTAGTAGAAGTGGTTTACATGTGTTACTGGGAATCCACGCTCCACCGATGTTCGGTTCGTATGTACCTTTAAATTATTATTATTTTTAATTCATGTTCAGACCATTACAAAAATTCCTATAGGATCCTATAGGAAATCTTATAGGAATTTCTATAGGAACCAATAGGAAATCATTTGGTAATTCATATAGGGAATTTTTATGAGGCTGGGTTGAATGAAAAATAGTGAATCTGGTCTAAATATTAGTATATAATGTATTTTTACTTTGTAAAAGTAAGTGAACATTAAGGGTATAGTACTGTCCCTCATAAAGGATGGGAAACGAGGACAAATTAATATGTTTAAAGATACATTTCATTATAAACCATGCTAAATCACACTTTAAGCCTACTAGTAAGGTTTAACAGTCAACTGATGTTAGCTAGAAAAAGCCCTACTTCACCAGCCATAACCACAGATTCATCATCATTCATCATCATCATCATTTAGAGCCTATAGTGTTCCACTGTTGGACAAAGGCCTCAGCATGCTTTTTCCATTGTTTCCTATCCTGAGCCTCAGATTTCCAGTTTGGCCAAGGTTTCTTCTTACAAGACTTACAGTAGTCATTTAATTCATCCCTCCAACGTTTGACCGGCCTTCCTCTTTTTCTTTGTCCATACCTTGGGGTCCATTCTGTAAGCCTGATTGTCCACCTATTGTCCTTCATTCTTTTGACATGTCCTGCCCACCTCCATTTCATTTCTTTAACTGTGAGCAGTACGTCCTTAACTTTGGTCTGTTCACGTAACCATACCTTCGTTTTCCGCTCTCTTGGACTGATGTTCAACATAATTCTTTCCATCTTTCTCTGAGCTACTTGTAGCTTGTCTTCCATGGAGGCATTCAGTGCCCAGGTCTCTGAACCATAGGTGATTGCCGGCAGCACACAAGCATTGATTCAACAACCACAGATTCAACAACTGTGAATTTCTTTTGTTAGCCTAGCACCTATTATTAGGTCACTATTTCTGTAGCTATTGTTACACTAGTAATAGTAACCGCCTATTAGGTGTTATCAGATGTGTGGTATCCTGTCTAAGTCTTTGTTTATATGAGACAAGCAGCAAATGAGTATACAGCTATCAAGACAGTTTAAATTCAGGAACACAGTGGAAGGATTCAGACTGTAGAAAAATTGGATTGAGAAAGGTATGTATTACATTAATGCATTGGATCATTTGGGCATCTAATCAAATTGAAAATGAGAAAATTGATCTAATTTGTAGTGTACCTTGTAAACACCATATCTATATTACATTAAATAAGTTATAATTTATAATGTATACTTCCCTTTTAGCCAACAAAGAAACAAGGATACAGAATGCAACCACTGTTTAGTCTCTTTATTTCTTATAGAACTCTGATCAATTGCTCATCAAAATATTTCTATAAGTGCAGTTGAATCTAAGAAAAAAAAAAATTTACATTTCATTTAATTTTTGGTTTGTGATTTATTAAAAATTATCTATATAAGATTATCCATAACTGCCTCTAAGGGAACATCATGATATATAACTGAGCAAGACCCATGCTAATAAATAACTTACAATTAACATGTTAGAGGGGCTGTCAGGGCAAATTTTATTACCTCTCATGTTCTTCATGATCATTTATTTGCTTCATGATCATTTCTTTCCCTTTAATTTCCTTTCAACCCTAACTGTGAGGTACACACCATAGTTTGTTTAAAAATAGTTTTTTGCTAACCTATACATAATGGAAATGAAATGTGAATTGTGAAAATCTGACCATTTTGTATACACAAAAGCTAAAAATTTTAACTTGGGGGTTGCTTTACTGTGGTTTGGACTGATGATTTACCCTGTAGGTCAAGGAAAGACTGGTGGGAATAGGGAATTACTGTTTACCCTCGGAAATTTTTTTGGCCCTGGCAGCTCTGTAATGGCCCAATTGCATATTTAACCAGAGTAGAGTTTTCCCCACTGCGGATTTAAAATTTGTTTCTGATTGTTCCTGTGGGCTTGGTCCTATGAAATATGTCCATGGTTCTTTATAATTTTTTTTACAAATTATCCAGCTTTAATACCTCGTCTTTGAAAAAAATCTGGTTAACAAATAAAGGCTATGAATTGGTGTAATGATTATTATTGATCTGATTCGAAATTTTTTCTTCATCATTTTTCATTTTGTAGACAATTAATTAAAACAATGTCTTTTTTTCAGAATACGTCTGCAAATGGTTCAACACAACTCAGACAGAGGTTAAGAAGGATATCATAGCTAAGTTGAACAATGTGCAAAAAACTTTTGTCTGAAACTCTTCAATTATTAAGTAACTGCAGCAGTATGCTGACAATGGACATGGTCTGGCCAAGGGAGGTTTTAGCCACTCATTCTGGCAGGAGTTCGAATGCACACGAGAAAAAGACAGTGACGCCACAGCTTGACCAGACATATTGGATGAATGTGATAACTTATATAACTTAGAATTAAAAAGCAGTAGCAAATTTGCAAAAATCTATGAAACAATTATCTAGTAAGCTGGTTGCATACCATACTGTGGAATATGTACATACATTTATACATATTGAATAAAGAATGTAAACATGATACTCTCTTTTGTTTTGAGGGACCAGTGCCTATTACCAATTTTGCCAATAATCCAACAATAAATAAAAAGCTGTACAAATATTCAAAGCAGTTAATATGCATTTCTACAGGTTCCTAAAAGATTTGCTTTAGAATTCCTATAAGATTTCCTATAGGATCCTATAAGATTTCCTATAAAATTTCCTTTAGGACCCTACAAGATTTCCTATAAGATTTCCTATATGATTTCCTATAGGATATCCTATAGGATCCTATGGGAAAATGGGACAATTTCCTATAGGAAATCTTATAGGAAATCCTATAGGAAATTTTCGTAAGGGGTGGACCGAGGGCTATTTGTCTATTTGTCTACAATGGATGCAAGTCACTTGGAATTGAATTTGCTAGGTTAATTTTATCAAGAAGTTATAACAGAAGGAGATTACACGCGTGGGGGCGGAGTCCGTTTTACGGTCTCTCATTGGTCGGAATGAACAGAACCCAGAGAACAATGGGTGACTATCTCTGTTACGGTCTCGTTTAAATCTGGTTTTCCGGAAAAGGTGCCTTCAGAAGTTTTTTTTTTTTTTTTTTTTTTTTTGAGAGTACACAAAGAGAAAAGCATTCAAAAGTTCGTTAAAATGAGAGAAGTACAAAGTGCAGAGGATATGATGTTGGATAAGGTTCTCAAAAACAGGTAAGAGTTTTTAAATGTATAACTACAGTTAATATGGTGATAAATTGCAACTTTTATGCCGTAAGGTCTCACTGTATAAGTGTTCAGCTCCACGTCGATCTCGCGAGGTGGTGTGTGGAAAATAAATGTTGCACGAAAAATATTTCCCACACATTACAAGTGCTTATACTTGTAGTATCAGATGAAGAAAGTTTGGTCTTTATACAGTTGTAATTGTTAAGTAATTTGTGGCAATAGGATAGAATAAATCTTAGGTGCACTTTTAGTATCCGAATAACAAGTACCAGGGGTAGTCTTAGAGAGGGGTGAGAAACGTCCATTGTTCTCGTCAGTGAGGCTAACCATTTTCAGGGTATGTACGCTCAGATAGAAAACCAAGTATTGTGGGAACGTTACTAATGAAGCCGCTGGTAGTACTAGTAGATATCAGTCTGTAGTCTTGAACAAGCACCCCGATGGCGAGTGAACAGTTGTCGAAAACAAAAGACCTAGGTGTGGTAGATCGACTACTGTTCATGCGTGCCGAAAAGACCAAACCTAATTGCCCCTCAAGGTCACAAAACAATATCCGGTACTGACGGTTAGGCTCGTCATAATCATATAAGTAGCCCGTTTCCACCCCCTGCAAGTACATGCGTAGGCCGCCATCTGGTTTACGTTTCGGGAAAAAATATCTCCAAAAAACATTCCCCCCTATTTTTTATACTTGTGTCACATGACAGTCATATAATTTAACTAATTGGTATGTCTGCAATACATTTTCTTGAGCAGTATTGTTGATTTTATTTGCGATCTAGCTTGAATACGACAAGGGCCAATTTTCACGCGTCCATATCAGTAACTGTTACGCTTGTTACGGCCAAACGCCTAAAAGTTGTTTG